GCCCCCTTCCCGCGCTCCGGCGGCGCTCCGCGGGCAGGCTGCTCCCCAGGGAAGCGGCTCCCCGATGCGGAGGTTCCATCCGCGCTGCATTTTAACTTGGCAGCGGGTGTATCCTGCAGTCTGCACGCAGGCCCTCGGCAAGGGCCTTCTTGCTGACACCCAGACAAGGCCAGATGCTCCCATGGGGAGCACTAATCAAAACCCTCTTTGCATTAGATTCCAGATAATCAGCCAGGATTTATCTTACTTGACCCCCATTTTCCCACTCGGGAACACTCTCCCCTGCCAGAATGTCAATCAAGTCATTTGTTCCCTTCTCAGCTCCTTAATTCTCATCTGCCCAATGACCTCCAGGAGCGCGCTGGCCTTCTCGGCAGCCCTCGGGAGATTTACGGGCCGCAGGGACATCTCCTCACGGTCGGCATTTCTTGGTCAATCAGCTCTTTCTCCTCTGCCTCTTCCCCTGCGCACGACTCCGCGCGCTGTCGCTGCCCTTCCCAGCAGAGCTGCAGTTCTCTCTTCATTTACGGGCAAGCAGAACCAGTCAAGTGGGAAAACCAGGTGTGCAGCAAATGCTGAGACAAGAAGGAAAGAAAAACCTGTGCGAATCTTCCTGGCCATCAAGAAAGCTGCTCTGCCTGTTCCATGGACACCACAGAGCTGTGCTGAGGATTCTCCACCCAGGAGGTAGCAGTATGTCAGGATACAGACTGACTTCCCGCAAGGAGAAGAGAGGTATTCCTGGGGAGTCATCGGAGCTCTTTGCAAGGGGATGTGAACTCAAGAAAAGCTGGATTAAGCCAAGGAGATTGTGACAAGTTCCTCTGGGCTGGGAGGAGAACTGGGGTTGCACTCTCAGGAGGAAGCTGGATTAGGCTGAAGTGGCAGCATCTGTATCACAGAATCGTTAAGGCTGGAAGGGACCTCTAGAGATCAACCAGCTCAACCCCCTGCACACGCAGGGTCACCTAGAGCACGTGGCACAGGGCTGCGTCCAAGCAGGTTTGAAGATCTCCAGAGAAGGAGACTCCACAACCTCTCTGGGCAGCCTGTTCCAGTGCTCTGGCACCCTCACTGTCAAGAATTTTTTCCTTAAGTTCCGCCTTCTCTTCTCCAGGCTGAACAGGCCCAGCTTCCTCAGCCTCTCCTCATAGGGCAGATGTTCCAGGCCCCTGATCATCCTTGAAGACCTGCGCTGGACTCTCTCCAGCAGCTCCACATCCCTCTTGCACTGTGGAGCCCAGAACTGGACACAATACTGCAGATGTGGCCTCACCAGGGCTGAGTAGAGGGGCAGGATCACCTCCCTCGACCTGCTGGAGATGCTCCTCTTAATCCTCACGGAGCTGGTTTACGAGACACCTTTCCCAGCCGTGCAACGCTCTTCTCCAGCGCCACGTTGCCTCCCTTGGCGCGTCACCCTCCTTCCCTCCGAGGAAAGGGCTCCAGCGCTTCTCCAAAGCAGCGCCCAACTGAGCCAGTCCCTCCACGGAAGCGGTCTCAGCCAGGACAGCTGGGAGACTCCAAACTCCGGCCTGGAGCCCATCCAGAGGTAGCAGAGCACCTGGACACACACACACACACTCACACCCTACACCGGGGAACTGCTGGAAAGAGCCTCACCCGTGCGATGTTCTGGACTCGGAAGA